TTTTCCCCACATCCTCATCAACATTTCTTGTTTGTTGATTTCTGTATGACAGTGATTCTATCAGGGGTGAGGTAAACCTCATAGTGGTTTTGATTTGTGCTTCCCTGATGGCTAGTGATCCTGCACATTTTTTCATGTGTCTGTTGGCCATGTGAACTTCATCTTTTAAAAAATGTCTGTTCAAATCCCTTGCCCGTTTTTCAATTGGATTGTTTGTTTTGTTGTTGTTGAGTTTCTCAAGGTCTTTCTGGATATTAATCCTTTCTCAGTTTAATAGCTTGCAACTATTTTCTCTCATTTTGTCAGTTTCCTCTTCATTTTGCTGAGTGTTTTCTTTGCAGTGCAGAAGCTTCTCAGCTTGATATAATCCAATTTGCTTATTGTTTTTATTTTATTTTCTGTGATTCTTGGATCTTTTCCAATAAGTCTTTCCTATGACAATTCCTTGCAGAGTTTCCCCAATTTTCTTCTCTAGTAATGTGATGGTATCAAGTCATTGATTTAGATACAGATCCATTTGAAGTTGATTTTTATATAAGGTGTAAGGTAGGATCTTGTTTCATACTTTTGCCCACAGAGATCCAATTTTGCCAACACTATTTGTTGAAGAGATTGTCCATTCTCCAGGAATTGATTTTAGCTCCTTTGTCAAAATTGAGTTGATTGTAGATGTGTGTATTGAATTCTGCAGTTTCCATTCTGTTCCATCATTCTGTGTGTCTATTTTTGTGCTAGTTTCAGGTTGTTTGATTATAACTGCTCTATTTTATGTCCTGAAGTCTTGTATTATGTTGCCTCTGGCCTTGTTTTTATTTTTTAAGATTGCATTATCTCGGGGCTGCACTGTGGCATACTAGATAAAGCTGCCGCCTGCAGTGTTGGCATCCCATATGGGTGCCAGTTTGAGTCTGCCTGCTTTGCTTCCAGTGCAGCTCTTTGCTATGGTCTGGGAAAGCACTGGAAGATGACCCAAGTCTTTGGGCCCCTGCACCTGCGTGGGAAGACCCAGAGGAAGCTCCTGGTTTCTGGCTTTGGATTGACGCAGCTCTGGCCATTGCAGCCAGTTGGGGAGTGAAGAACCAGTGGATGGAAGATCTTTCTCTCTCTCTCTGTTTCTCTCTCCCTCCCTCCCTTTATCCCTCCCTCCCTCTTCTTTTCTCTTTGTGTAATTCTGACTTTCAAATAAATGAATAAATATTTAAAAAATATTTTGAAAAAGATTGTGTTAGTTCATGAAAGGACATTGTATTTTATTAAATGCTTTCTCTACATCTATTGAGATAGTCACATGGTTTTTATACTTCAGTTTGTTAATGCAATGTATAACATTTGATTATTTGTGTTGCACCATCCCTGCATATCCAGGATAATTTTCAGTTGGTCCAGATAACTGATCTTTCTGATGTGTTTTGGAATTGTTTAGTTAGTATTTTGTTGAGAATTTTGCATCTATGTTCACCAGGATATTTGTCATACAGATCTCTTTGTTATATCTTTTTCTGGTTTTGGAATAAAGGTGATACTGGCTTCATAGAAGGAATTTACAAGGATTCTCTCCCTTGCATTTTTTTTTCGTAGCTTGGGGAGAATTGGAATTCATCAGTGAAGCTGTAAGACTTGAACTTTTCTTTGTTGGGAGGGTCTTTATTACTTATTCAATCTGGCTCAGAAGATAATGCACAGAAGTAGATGAAACACAAGAACAGAGCAGAGAAGTAAATTAGCATTCCCATTTTAAATTTTAAAAGAGGCATTATTATCATTGGTTTTAAAATAGTTCAGAAAGTTATTCATTAAAAAGTATCAATACTACCAGTTGATCTGTAATCCTATTTCTCTGAGGTCACCATTCTATTACAGATAGTCTTACTCTTACTCTATTTAACTATGTATCAGGGCTGGCAAGGTGGTGTAGTAGGTTAAGCCTCTGCCTGAGATGCTGGCATACCATATGGAAGGTATTTCAAGTCCCACTGCTCCTCTTCTGATCTAGCTCTCTGCTATGGCCTGGGAAAGCAGAGGAAGATGGCCCATGTCCTAGGACCTCTGCACCCATCTGCAAAACCCGGAATTAGCTCCTGTCTCCTGGTTTCAGAACAGCCCAGCTCCTGCATTGCAGATATTTGGGGAATGAACCTGCAGATGGGAGATCTCTCGGGGCCAGCGCTGAGGCGTAGAGGGTAGAGCCACCACCTGCAGTGCCTACATTCCATTTGGGCGCTGGTTCAAGTCCTGGCTGCTCCACTGGGAAGGCAGTGGAAGATGCCCCAAGTCCTTGAGCCACTCCACCTACATAGGAGACCCAGAGGAAGCTCCTGGCCCCTGTCTTAGGAAGTGGCACACCTCTAGCCATTGTGGCCAACTGGGGCATGACCCAGTGGTTGGAAGACCTCTCTCTCTCTCTTTCTCTCTGCCTCTCCTTTTCTCTCTGTGTAACTCTGACTTTCAAGTAAATAAAATCTTTTAAAAAGCCTCTCTCTATCTCTGGTCTCTCTCTCTCTCTCTCTCTCTCTCTAATTCTGTCAAATCAATAAACTATGTGTCAATTTACACATACAAAAATATAATATGCACAGAAGTTTTTCAAAATACATATTTTTATAACTTGTTTTACTGCTTTAAACTATAACAGATTTTTATGTTTAATTGCATGAACATAAATAAATCAAAATACATAAATTGATTTTAGGCAACTGGTTATTACAAAAAGTATCAAAAGTATCATAATTTACCTAATTTTAAACTGAAAGACATTTGTTCTGTTTCTAATTTTTTTTCTTAAATATAATGTTGCTATTATGAACAATTTCATACATATATCCTGATCTGTGAGTGTATTTATTTGGAAGTGGAATTAATTGCTTAAGAACAGATTCATCAATGAATATTATCAATATTAATGTACCAGTTAAAATACATTTTTGATGATTATCTTAAGTTTCATTTCTTTAATTGCAAATGTTTAGAAAGCATTTATAAATGCTCCTCCACATTGAAGCATCATTAGTTCATGCCTGCCATCACCATAGCAACCCATTTAATGAAACAGGAACAGCTTTAGCAAAAGAGATGGCAAGAATCAGCCTGCATATGCCATGCTTTTCACAATTTTTAGCACTAGCTATCAAATAGATTATCAATGACCTTCTGTTCCTATGGATTCTTGGTGTGAGATATCGCTATTGACTTTTTAAAAGTAATATCTTAAATATCTATAAAAGTTCTCTCAACATGGGACAAACAGAAGAAATACAAACAATAAGAACTGCCCACTTACTCTTTGTACCTAGAATATTTTATCCCAGACATGATTGAATACTCTTTATCTGTTATCTTGAACCATATGAATTTTCAGAGTTAAAAGTCAAAAAAGTCAAATAGCAGCAATTGCAAACAACTCAATCTAGTAAAATCAGTAATGGTAGAAACTACAGTCATGGCCACAGTATTTTAAAATTTTAAGAACTCAAAGTCTCCTGTGTTCTGGATACTCTAATTGCTTCTCATTGTATCATAATTTACATTACCACAATGTAATTCCTCATCAATGCTGGCTGCTCAAGATTGCAATTTAATTCTTCTTTTGTTAGGTTCCATGCCTCCTTCAAATGTCATCTCAGATCCCTCTTCCTCTGTGGGAAATCTTATACTCACAGAACCTTCCAACCCAACTCTCCACTCTAACTTTATCTGTACTCACTTTCATTGATGGAAGGATACCTGTAAATGTCCAAATTTTGTTAATAAAGAGTACTCATTGAAATAGCCCTAGTAAAGTATCATAAAGATGGTAAACTTTGGGGTCAAACACTGATCTTTCCAACAAAACAGTCACAACTATCTGTGGATGAAAATAGCTTATGGAGAGCTCTGGGATACTAGAAACCTTACAGATCACACAAACCAAGGATAGCTGCGTAGAGAACAGTAGGAAACACCTTGACTGCAATCATGCTACTCTCCCATTGGAATTAGTTTAGAGCCTAGAAAGAGTTATTCTTCTTGGGAGAAGATGAACAGAATGACCCCAGTGGCCCTCATCACCATCACTGGGGACTCCTGCAGTCTTCATTGGTCCTGAGATAAGATGTGTAGGAGAGAAGAAAGGTTATTTGGACTTAGAGTTTTGGAAGTTCACAGCTCATGATTAGGAAGCCACACAGGTCCAAGCATTTGATGAAGCCAGGGTAGAAGGGTGATTATCTCATGAACAAGGGAACAGAGAACACTTTTTATTCTTGAATTTATTTTTATTGTATATATTTAAGGAACTAGGTGAATGATGAGTTTATCAGTGTTACTAATCATCCAGAAATAACCACAATGAGACACTATATAACACCTTTTAGGAAGACTGCTCTCAAAAAATGAAATAGTGTTGGTGAGTATGTAGAAAAAAGGAAACACTGATACACTGTGGATAAGAAATAAAATCAGAACCTTGAAGAGGCATTTTCTTCCCCATGTTCATTGAAGAATTCTTCAAAAATAACCAAGACATGAAAGCTTCTGAAGTGTCCATTGATGGATGAATGGATAGAGAAAATGTGATGCATATGCTGAACAGTGTATTTCATTTGCAATAAAATGAATGAGCCTGGAGGATATTATACTAAGTGAAATGATCCAGAAACGGAAGAAAACTCCTGCACGATCACACTTCTATTTGGAAAATAAAAATAAATTAAAATTCAAAGAAACAGAAAATACAATGGTGAACATCAAAGTCAAGAAAACCGGAGAGAAAAATTTTAATTCAAACAGTACAAAGTTGCAATTATGTAGGATGAATAAGTTTAGAGATCTAATATATAGCATGATAAATATAATTAATAATATTGTATACTGGAAATTTTCAAGACAGTAGATTTTCAGTGTTTACCACCAAAAAAAGAGTAATTATGTGAAGTGATGGATACATAAATTTGCTTTGCTACAGCAATCATTTTATTATGTATAAGTACATCAAAATACCACTTTTTCATCTAAAAATCATGGAAAATAGCAATTAAAAATATATGTTAATAAATATGGCCCAAAATGTTCCAAGAAATACATATCAAGAAAAGGAGACCCCAGCTCATACTTATGGAATAAGCAAAAATTGATATTTAGAATAGGCTTCAAAGGTGGCTGCCTATTTAAGTTAACATTTCATAAATATCTGGCAACATTTATGACCAAATTAATGGATAGTTAGGAGCCCAGACACTTGAGTCAGATATACTAAGCTTATGTTTTGTGATTGCATTTACTACCATGGACAAGTTACATGGGCTTCAGTTTTCTCATCTGTAAAATGGGAGTATAATAACAGCCCATATCTTATAGATTAGTTGTAATGGTAAAAAGGATAAATACATGTGAAAACTTAGGAAACTTCCTGCAACCAAGTAAGTGCTAGTCAAAGTAGTGACTACTTTATTTTCAGAAATTTGTTGGGTAGTCTCTAAGATCTCACAGAAGTATACAATCACCCTGTAGCTCTCAAGAATCGATATATGTCCCCATATTTTCATATTCCATGTAGCAAAATAAAATCATAGGAGTTTCCTAAAAGTTCTCCTTAGAAGGTAGATTAGAGAGGTATAATGCCTCTAAGGAGCCCAATTTCCTGTGTTCAGTGATCACTCCAACTATAATCACTTCCTCTGGCAAATCCACTTGTTTTTCTAGCATTTTACAGTTTTAGTGATGTTCAATTCTCTCTACATTGTGAGATTGATAACAATGTATAGTCCTGCTCACAGAAGTTAGGGTAGTGTTTGTGACTAGGTCAGTGAAAGGAACTGAGGGAAGGCAGGTGAAGAGGGAGATGGAAGTGTAAAGGGTGTATAAGTCTTAGCATTCTGGGGAGAGAAGACTTTTAAAAAACATTATTTTTTTATTTCTTAGTAAATTACTCAAATTTTAATTCCATAATCTTTTTAGGTTTGTCTTTAGACCTGACATGCTTTGATAAATTATTTGTTTACAAATAGATCATACCAGGTAAATGTGGGGTAGTTGAACCCTGGGCGCACAATTGCCTTATCATAACATCCTATTCCATTTTTGCACCACACTTATATCTTACCCTAGAAGTCATGCATTTATATGCATTTAGGCTAGGAAGCATTACAGAACAAAGAAAAGACCTGCTAAAATAAATTTTTAGGAGGAAGGCCTTCATAATTATTCATTTCAGCAATCCCTGTCTAGAGCAGATACTCAAGACATGCCTGATGAAACACTGACTCAACAAACGAGTTAATCATTTTCCTCACCAAAAATTGAGCCAATCTCCCTTTTTTTATTTTGCATGGAGAATTTATCTTTTTCAAAACCTCCAACTCAGACTGGGTTTAACACTCCATTAAACAAGGGAAGGGAAGCCTTTTCATTGCCAGATAGTTTGCAAAATTACTCTTCCTGCAAAAGAGCAAAAGGGAAAGCAATCAAAAACAGATAAATGTGGAAAAATGTAAGTAACTATTTGTCCCATGTAGGTCACTATTCTCCACCATGGAGAATGTAGTATGTCCTCTAACTGCAAAAATACTTCTTAGAACTAACACCTAAATAAAAAAAAAGCAGCTTTTGTTAATTAGCAGTATTCTCTTGAAATACACACATAAATACACACATATACATATATGTTGCATATATTATGAATTACTTTGGGAAAGTTAAACAAAAAAGTAAAAATTAAAATATAGAATAGTTCCTGCCACCTAGTAAATGCAACTGCAAGAGCATATATATTCATCAATAAAAGGAAGCTTAAGAGTAGGATTATTTATATATTATATAACAGGCACCCTTGCCATGAAAAAAGTATCAAAGATTTTGCATAAGAAGCATTATGATTTCTCTAAATATACCAAGTGAAAAGCAACAACTGTGATAGCAATAGTAGTTATTCATGTGTCTCATATTGTTCTAATAGTTTTATAAATATTAACTCATCTAATATTTACAACATATGAGGAGATGGTATTACTACCATCTCTTCTTTATAAATTATAAAACTGAAGCAAAAATGTTTATTTGTTAAATGAACTAATAATTATTGAGTATGGATACAAACTGAGGCATTTTCACTCTGTGTTTTGTGCCCTTAACTACTATTCTATGTGGAAAGTAAATACGAAAAATATTTGTTTCAAGTAATGGACTATTCCACTGAAGTTTCTGCACTAAATGATTGATGATGTCTCTTGAATTTGAGACTCCAGCAAATCAATTTAATAAATATATTTGCCAATTACTGTGTTTAGCACTGTGGGAATTGTGCACTGAAAGATAAGGAACAATCCCTGTACCACAGAATTTGCAATCTGGTCTTAGAGGCAGATGTTTATATCCAAATGGCAACAGGAGTCAGATGAAATTAATGACATAAAGAGACACTTTGTGATATGTGAGATCAGTGTTAGAAAGAACTGACAGCAGGAGTGTTTGATGGTTATCTAATTCTTAGTTCAACTAAGAATCCAGCCTTTAGAGACCTTAATTTCGTTAGTAGAAGATCATAAACATTTGAGTGATATGACAGAGAGGGCTACAGATTAGAAATCAAAAGATACAGTACTGGCCAGCGCCGTGGCTCAATAGGATAATCCTCCACCTAGTGGCGCCGGCACACAGTGTTCTAGTCCTGGTCGGGGCACCGGATTCTGTCCTGGCTGCCCCTCTTCCAGGCCAGCTCTCTGCTGTGGCCCGGGGAAGGCAGTGGAGGATGGCCCAAGTGCTTGGGCCCTGCACCTGCATGGGAGACCAGGAGAAGCACCTCTGCTCCTGGCTTTGGATCAGCACAGTGCGCCGGCCTCAGCGCACCAGCCGTGGAGGCCATTGGAGGGTGAACCAATGGCAAAAGGAAGAGCTTTCTGTCTCTCTCTCTCACTATCCACTCTGCCTGTCAAAAAAAATTTTAAAAAAAAAGATACAGTACTTACTATGTGGCTAGCTATTTCACAAGCTAGCAACTTGAGTTTCAGTTACTTTATCTTTTACCTGGATATGTGGGAATCTTTCTTCTACCTATTTTGAATATTTTCATTGGATTATTTATTTTAGGTGAGATTCTAGTAAGACAACATATAGAATGGACAGACTTCCTAGAAGATGCAAAGAATGTTGTTAGTTCACAGCTACCAATCATTGATTCCTTCAGGATTCATCTTGACTTAAAGGAGCATAAGTTGAGGGGTTCCAAGAAGGCTAAATAGGGAGCAGATAAGCTGACTTCGACCAGGGGAAGATAACAGGATAAAAGCAGAGGAAGTACATTCATTGTCAGGGGAGAATTGGAGTGGAATTTACAGTGGAAATTATACAGAAAGAGAGATCCCTGCCAGGACACATTTCTTGATATCCACCAAAGAAACAGATACTCCACTAAGTCACAGAAGTATAGTTCAAAGTTAAAAACCCATAAGTGGAAAAAATCAACAAGTGTTTCCACAAATGCCTGAAATAACACAGATATACAAGTAACATGAACAACAACAACAACAACAAAACACACTATCTCTCAATATTAGAGACAAGGGATGTAAAAAATCATTGAATCACAAATTGTTCATTTCACTCCAATACATTAGATCTTTTTTGACAGGCAGAGTCAGACAGTGAGAGAGAGAGACAGACAGAAAGGTCTTCCTTCCATTGGTTCACCCCCCAAATGGCCGCTACGGCCAGCTCACTGCACCAATCCGAAGCCAGGAGCCAGGTGCCTCCTCCTGGTCTCCCATGCGGGTGCAGGGCCCAAGCACTTGGGCCATCCTCCACTGCCTACCCCGGGCCACAGCAGAGAGCTTGACTGGAAGAGGAGCAATTGGGACAGAATCCTGTGCCCCAACTGGGACTAGAACCCGGGGTGCCGGCGCTGCAGGCGGAGGATTAGCCAAGTGAATCACGGCACTGGCTGGTATTTGTCTTTTTGAAACTGGCTGATTTCATTAAGTATAATGGTATCCAGTTGCATCCATTGTTACAAAAAAACAGGAATTCTTTTTTTGTTTTTTGCTTGTTTTACCACTGAGTAGTACACCATAGTGTCTATGTACCATAATTTCTTTATCTAGTCATGTGTTGATTGAATCTATCTTTTTTATTTAGTAAATATAAATTTCCAAAGTACAGTTTATGCATTACAATGGCTTCTCCCCCATAATTTCCCTCCCACTAAAACCCCTCCAATCTCCCGCTCCATCTCCCATTCCATTCACATCAAGATTCATTTTCAATTATCTTTATATACAGAAGATCGATTCAGTATATATTAAGTAAAGATTTCATCAGTTTGCACCCACACAGAAACACAAAGTGTAAAATACTGTTTCAATACTAGTTATAGCATTACTTCACATTGGACAACACATTAAGGACAGAGATCCCAAATGAGGAGTAAATACACAGTGACTCCTGTTGCTGACTTAGCAATTTGACACTCTTGTTTATGGCATCAGTAATCTCCCTAGGCTCTAGTCATGAGTTGCAAAGGCTATGGAAGCCCTTTGAGTTGCCGACTTCGATCTTATTCTGACAGGGTCAAAGTCAAAGTGGAAGTTCTCTCATCCCTTCAGAGAAAGGTAACTCCTTCTTTGATGGCCCCATTCTTTCTACTGGGATCTCCTTTGCAGAGATCTTTCATTTAGGTCTTCTTATTTTTTTTTCCAGAGTGCCTTGGCTTTCCATGCCTAAAATACTCTCATGGGCTCTTCAGCCAGACCCAAATGCCTTCAGGGCTGATTCTGAGGCCAGAGTGCTATTTAGGACATCTACCATTCTATGAGTCTACTGTGTATCCTGCTTCCCATGATGGATCGTTCTCTCCCTTTTTGATTCTATCACTTAGTATTAGCAGACACTAGAGTTATTTGTGTGATCCCTTTGACTCTTAGACCTATCAATGTGATCAATTGTGAACTGAAATTGATCACTTGGACTAGTGAGATGGTATTGGTACCTGCCACCTTGATGGGATTGTATTGGAATCCTCTGGCACGATTCTAACTCCACCATTTGGGGCAAGTCCGATTGAGCATGTCCCAAATTGTACGTCTCCTCCCTCTCTTATTCCCACTCTTATATTTAACAGGGATCACTTTTCAGTTAAAATTTAAACACCTAAGAATAATTGTGTGTTAATTACAGAGTTCAACTAATAGTACTAGAACAAAACAAAATACTAAAATTGATAAAGTATTACATTGTACATCAACAGTCAGCACAAGAGCTGATCAAGTCACTGTTATTATAATGTCCATTTCACTTCATCAGGTTTCCCCTTTGGTGCCCAGTTAGTCATCGCTGATCAGGGAGAACATGTGATATTTGTCCCTTTGGGACTGGCTTAATTCACTCAGCATGATGTTTTTCAAATTCCTCCATCTTGTTGCAGATGACCGGATTTCATTGTTTTTGACTGCTGTATAGTAATCTATAGAGTACATGTCCCATAATTTCTTTATCCAGTCTACTGTTGATGGGCATTTAGGTTGATTCCAGGTCTTAGCTATTGTGAATTGAGCTGCAATAAACATTGAGGTGCAGACAGCTCTTTTATTTGCCAATTTAATTTTCTTTGGGTAAATTTCAAGGAGTGGGATGGCTGGGTTGTATGGTAGGGTTATATTCAGGTCTCTGAGGAATCTCCAAACTGACTTCCATAATGGCTTAACCAGTTATGGACATCTCCCTTGATTCAATATCTTACCTATTGTGAATTGAGCTGCTATAAACCAGGAGGTACAGATAACCCTTTCATATGCTGATTTCTATTTCTTCCCTCTTATTTTGAGTGTGGTATTTTTTGTTTTGTTTTGTTTTGTTTTTTTTCAGGAACTTGAGACACACTGATATATCATTTATTTAATGCATTTCAAACGCAAGAGACCTCAAATAGCTAGAGCAAATCTTAAAAAAAAAAAAAAAACCAAAGCCGGAAGCAACACAATATCAGATTTCCAAAGATGCTACAGAGCATTTATAATCAAAACAGCCAAGAACTGGCACAAAAATTGACAAGTAGATCAATTGAACAAAATAGAAATCTCAGAAATTAATACACACATATACAATCAACTAATCTATGACAAATGAGTTGAAATCAATCCTTGGAGAAAGAACAGTCTCTTCAACAAACACTGATGGGAAAATTGGATCTATAGATACCGCATTATGAAGCAAGAAATGTACCTTACACCTTATACAGAAATCAACTCAAAATAGATGAAAGATCTAAATCTATGACCTGATGCCCCCCAAAAAAACTAGAGTAAGACATCATAGAAACTCTGCATGACATTGGCACAGGAAAGGCTTTTTGGAAAAGATCCCAGAATCACAGGCAATAAAGACTGAAATAGACAAATTGGATTACATCAAGCTAAGGAGCTTCTATACTGCAAAGGAAATACTCAGCA